TCTGACTGATCACCGTAACCTGGAGTACATCCGGGCAGCTAGGAGATTGAACCCTCGTCAGGCTAGGTGGAACATGTTCCTGACCCGGTTTGTTTTTAAGATCACCTACATCCCTGGGTCCCAGAACGGTAAGGCAGACGCCCTGTCCCGGCAGTATGACACAGAGGAGAGGTCCATTGAGCCTATTTCCATACTGCCGGAGTCTTGTCTGGTGGCTCCGGTAGTATGGGAGGTCGATGCGGAAATCGAGCGGGCGCTGCGTACCGACCCTACTCCCCCCGAGTGTCCTGTGGGGCGGACGTACGTTCCGCTCGAGGTTCGTGATCGGCTTATTTCTTGGGCTCATACATCACCCTCCTCTGGACATCCTGGTATTGGTCGGACGGTGCACTGCCTTAGCGTAAAATACTGGTGGCCAACGTTAGCCAGGGATGTGAGGGTTTATGTCTCCTCCTGCTCGGTATGTGCCCAGTGTAAGGCACCTAGACATTTGCCCAGAGGTAAGTTACATCCTCTGCCCGTTCCACAACGACCATGGTCCCACCTCTCGGTAGATTTTGTGACCGATCTACCCCCTTCCCAGGGTAATACCACCATTTTGGTCGTTGTGGATCGGTTTTCTAAGGCCTGTCGTCTCCTCCCACTGCCGGGTCTCCCTACTGCCCTACAGACCGCCGAGGCCCTCTTTACCCACGTGTTCCGGCACTATGGGGTCCCCGAGGATATTGTGTCCGACCGAGGTCCCCAGTTCACCTCCAGAGTCTGGGGGGCTTTCATGGAACGCCTGGGGGTCTCGGTTAGCCTTACCTCGGGGTACCACCCAGAGAGCAATGGGCAGGTTGAACGTGTGAACCAGGATGTGGGTAGGTTTTTGAGGTCCTATTGCCGGGACCGGCCGGAGGAGTGGTCGAGGTATATCCCCTGGGCAGAGATGGCCCAGAACTCTCTCCGCCACTCCTCCACCGGATTAACACCTTTCCAGTGTATTTTAGGGTATCAGCCGGTCCTGGCACCGTGGCACGAGAGCCAGACCGAGGCCCCTGCGGTGGACGAGTGGATTCGGCGCTCGGAGGAGACGTGGGACGCTGCCCATGTCCATCTGCAGCGTGCCATCCGTCAACAAAAGGCGAGCGCCGATCGCCACCGCAGTGAGGGGCCGGTGTACGCACCGGGAGATCGAGTCTGGCTCTCGACTCGAAACCTGCCCCTCCGCCTGCCCTGCCGGAAGCTGGGTCGGCGGTTTGTGGGGCCCTTTAAAGTCCTGAGAAGGTTGAACGAGGTGTGTTACAGGTTACAACTGCCTATAGAGTACAAAAATATTAACCCCTCGTTCCATGTGTCTCTTCTCAGGCCGGTGGTAGCTGGTCCACTCCAGGATAATGAGATAGGAGAGACCCCTCCGCCCCCTTTGGACATCGAGGGGGCCCCGGCGTATAGAGTCCGGACCATCTTGGACTCGAGGCGCCGGATGAGTGGTCTCCAGTATCTCGTGGAGTGGGAGGGGTACGGTCCGGAGGAACGGTGCTGGGTGCCCAGGAGGGACATCCTCGATCCATCCCTCCTGACTGATTTCCACCGTGGGCATCCCACGCGCCCGGGTCCGCGTCCTCCTGGCCGTCCCCGAGGCCGGGGTCGGCGCACGGCTGGAGCCGCGCGTCAAGGGGGGGGTACTGTCACGGATTCTGCCGAGGCTGCTCCCCCTCCTGGTACGAGCAGGCGTCGGCGGTCGCCGTCCCCGGAGTACTAGCTGCCACTGATCTTTGTTTCTGTGTGTGATTGCTTTTGTCTGTCTGTCACACCTGTGTCCTATTGTGTATTCATCACCTGTCCTATAAGTTCCGTCTTTTTGCTTGGTAGGATTGTGTGTTGTTGTTCGCCTGTCTTTGTGCTGCGTGTTTTGTTTCTTGTTTTGTTATTCTAGTGTTTTACGCTTTTTGCGTAAATGCTCGCCTCTTATGTTTGGAGGTCGTTTGTTTACCGTTTCCTTTTGGAATTTTTGAGTAAACTCTGTTGGACTGAGCCTCGGTGTCCTGCGCCTGACTTCCACCACACATACACCTCACCTCATGACATCACCACTTAACACTCCCTGTAACTCTTCTGATGTCAAGTCTCGCACACCCAAATACCTTTCTGCAGCTGCCACCACAACCTCAATTTTCTTCGACTTGCGTTCCATCCCTGTAGTACAATTAATAACCATTGCTATTACCGCTAAAAATCTAATCTTACTGAAACATATATCACTTGTTGGCCTATCCCTCTGTACTGGTATAAATCTACTACTCTCACCACTCCCCCCTTGAACCCTCTTCCTCTACTTTCTTCACTGCCTCAGCATATGACAACTTCTTCACTACTCTTACCCTGGAAACCTCAACCTGCTTCTCTCACACGGGACATTTCTGATCCCCAGCCCCATGGCCACCCCTACAATTAGCACATACCATTATTTTCCCCAATGCTACACATTCCTTTGTTTCATGCCCTTCTACACACTTCTCACACCTTGGAACCTCCCTCCTACATACTGCTGCCACATGCCCATGTCACCTGTAACATCGGAATGTATTCGGCACATAAACTTGTACAGGATAACGTATATATATCCTAACTTCACTTTGTCAGGTAAAGACTCAACTTCAAAACTCAAAAGAACAGACAATGACTCTTCTGTTTCCCCACTCTCGCCACCCTGTTTGCGTCGCACCAAACAACGAGCATCACATCAGTTGATTCTCGTTGTCAGGCTGTCCACATTTTGGCATAGCACCGTTCCGACTCAAGGGAGAGAAATGAAAGAGAGTAGGATCCTTTTTGCGCTTCTCCAAAAGTACAAGAACATGAAACATATTTCTTACCTTTGTCATTAGACAACACTGGTAAGGAACAAAAACAATTCATACTCATACAAGCCTACATTAATACTGAGCTTGAACATTTAACTTGGAATGTACGTGCGATATCATACAGCCCTTCACAGTGGTGAGATAAAGGGATAGTAGGCCTATAATAATATGGAAATCTGCTATGCTACGGTAAAGATAGAAGGATAAACTCATCTGGCACAACATGAAACATTAACTCTATTCAAATTCGGTCACTGGTTACCTTCTTTTATTTAACTCTGACAATATCAGTATACACTGTGTGTACAAAACATTAGGAACACCTGCTCTTTCCATGACATAGACTGACCAGGTGAAAGCTATGATCCCTTATTGATGTCACTTGTTAAATCAATCAGTGTAGATGAAGGGGAGGAGACAGGTTAATGAAGGAATTTTAAGCATTGAGACAATTGAGACATGGATTGTGTATGTGTGCCATTCAGAGGGTGAATGGGCAAGAAAAATATGTATGTGTCTTTAAACGGGGTATGGTAGTAGATGCCAGGCGCACCGGTTTGTGTCAAGAACTGCAATGCTGCTTGGTTTTTCACAATCAACAGTTTCCTGTGTGTATCATAAATTGTCCACCACCCAAAGGACATCCAGCCAACTTGACACAAATGTGGGAAGCATTGGCGTCAACATGGGCCAGCATCCCTGTGGAACACTTTCGACAGCTTGTAGAGTCCATGCCCTGGCCGATTGAGGCTGTTCTGAGGGCAAAAGGGGGTGCAACTCAATATTAGGAAGGTGTTCCTAGTATTTTGTACACTCAGTGTTCACTACATGACCAAAGGTATGTGGACACCTGCTCGTCGAACATCTCATTCCGAAATCATGGGCATTAATATGGAGTTAGTCCCTGCTTTGCTGCTCCAGACCTCTGGGAAGGCTTTCCACAAGATGTTGGAACATTGTTGCGGGGACTGGCTCGCAGTCGGCTTTCCAATTCATCCCAAAGGTGTTCGATGGGGTTGAGGTCAGGGCTCTGTGCAGGGCAGTCAAGTTCTTCCACACCGATCTCGACAAAACATTTATTTATGGACCTCGCTTTGTGCACGGGGGCATTGTCATGTTGAAACAAGAAAGGGCCTTCCCCAAACTGTTGCCACAAAGTTGGAACCACAGAATCATCTAGAATGTCATTGTATGCTGTAGCGTTAAGAATTCCTTTCACTGGAACTAAGGGGCCTAGCCCGATCCATGAAAAACAGCCCCAGACCATTATTCCTCCTCCACCAAACTTTACAGTTGGCACTATGCATTCGGGCAGGTAGTGTTCTCCTGGCATCCGCTAAACCCAGATTTTTCCGTCGGACTGCCAGAAGGTGAAGCGTGATTCATCACTCCAGAGAACACGTTTCCACTGCTCCAGAGTCCATTGGCGGCGAGCTTTACACCACTCCAGCCGACGCTTGGCATTGCACATTGATGATCTTAGGCTTGTGTGCGGCTTCTCGGCCATGGAAACCCATTTCATGAAGCTCCCAATGTTCTTGGGCTGACGTTGCTTCCAGAGGCAGTTTGGAACTTAGTAGTGAGTGTTGCAACCGAGGACAGACCATTTCTATGCGCTACGTGCCTCAGCACTCGGCGGTCCCGTTCTGTGAGCTTGTGTGGCCTAGCACTTCACGGCTTAGCCGTTGTTGCTCCTAGACGTTTCCACTTCACAATAACAGCACTTACAGTTGACCGGGGCAGCTCCAGCAGGGCAGAAATTTGACAAACTGACTTGTTGGAAAGGTGGCATCCTATGACGGTGCCACGTTGAAAGTCACTGAGCTCTTCAGAAAGGCCATTCTACTGCCAATGTTTGTCTATGGAGATTTTATGGCTGTGTGCTCGGTTTTATATACCCGGTGTGGCTGAAATAGACGAATCCACTAATTTAAAGGGGTGTCCATATCCTTTTGTATATATAGTGTATGTGGCCCATGAGGGATTCAAACCCACAATCCAGGTGTTGCCTGTACCTTGCTTCTAAACCCACTTAGCCAATGGAATCATGGTTTCCAAGAAGTCTTCCTAGTTCCAGAAGTTCCAGAGTGTAATCTCAATGAGCACAGTTTATGCGTGAACACATCTCCAGTCCAGTCATATGTTTACTTAATGATTTATATCTCTGTGTCCTCAGATGTGAGCTTCCTAAGAATCCATCTGTCTGGGAATAACAACCATATAAAGTTCCTGCAGGGCCCTCAAGACAACATAGTATACGCTGCAGGCCATAGAAACATGTTCCAGACAGACTTCCACAGTTTGACCTCTATAAAGGTTGTATGACTGAGTTACTTGTGTATTGTGTTGCTTTATATTGATTTAGCTCTATTCAGGTCGTGCTCTAAGTAGGATTGTCCAATTCAGTTGCTGTAATGTAATTGATGGTAATAACAGAGGGAGGGTTATTGATATTGTTACAGTAAATATTTAGCTAAACAGTCCTTCCCCTCTTATATACTGTAGACTAGATTATGTTGAAAAGGATGTATTGAACATTGTATTCTACATGTACAGATGTAGGATCTTAATTTGATCACTCTTATGTTACTGAGAATTTTACTGCACATCAGGAAATGCAAACTTGTAGTATATTCAAGGTTTAAAAAGGGTTTTAAAGTTAGTAATTTCCACTTTAAAATATCACATTATTTGCCCTAACGAAAAATGTATCAACGCCTTCAAAAAATGTCCATTAATTATAATCCACATAATAATTCACATGTCCTGTTGCTGCATGAGTATTTTCCTGCTGTATTAAACTGGCTCAAATTAAGATCCTACATCTGTACCTGTACAATATTTTTAATGATTGCCTTTGCAGAGTCCTGTGTTTGGAGAGGGATGTAGAAGTAATGATCCCGCATCACCAGTGAGTATCTGAGAGGATGTTGGTTTTATAGTACAGTTCATTACTAAAGTTGCACATAGAATAATTTGCATACAACGATGTAACACAGTTCTGTTTTGTACTTCAGGACTGTCACTATAACATCACTGTTTTACACAAGACTAAAGATCCAAACCAACTGTTCCTGTGTGGAACCAATGGACAACAACAGACATTGTGCTGTTACATGGTATGGGACATACTTTTCATTATATAAGTATACATGACTTTTCATGGTACCATTTTGCCATTGGCGTGTTGACACAAAACTATTCCACTGCAGAACCCATCAGACGACCCGTTTAACTGCACTCGATCCAAGGGCATCCAAAACATTAAACAACACATAAATGAAAGCGAGCCATCGCTCCTCATTGGTGAGGAAAATGTCTCATTGGAAAATCATTACTCTATAATATGACCTAATGTTCATGACTGGTTGGTTATTGAGCTAATGTGTTGTGTCTCCAGGTTCTGCTGAAGTAGAGGAATTCTACACCACTCACTCAGGCACAGAGGGTTCCGTGGGGATCCACAGGTTTGGGAAGAACAGACTATGGACAGAAAAAAGTGGAACAGGTATGGATCAGGGTGAGAGAACAAGACGTGGCCTGACATTGTTTTGTTTAGTACTGTATATCTGATCAGACTGTCCATTGAATTTAATGATTTATCCTGTTATTTTCCCTAGAACAGAGATATGTGAGTTTGGTGGCTAGTGGGCAGAGAGAGGATAATCTGCAGGACAGACTATATGCCTTCTACATAGAGAAGACCCGAGACCCGAGTTTGGACTCTGATCTCTGGGTTTCCCGGGTTGCTCAAGTCTGCATGGTAAGCACTACATACATGAATGTAGAACATGAATCATGCCTTCACTGTATGTAATCACCAGTGCTGCAGTTTAGTTCAGAAAATATTTGTAGATCTTTCATATGCGGCACCAACTCCATTTCTGCCCATTTAAGCCCTTAATTAAGACTATTTTCATTGGGGGGCTCCTTTAAGTGGTGTGTGCACTTGCCCACTGTGATTATCTTAGCATGTCCGTGGTTGGATGTGTGTTCCAGGCCGATCTTGGAGGACCTAAGTCCTATCTGCAGTTCAGGTGGACCTCCAAGTTGAGTACCAGGCTCTTCTGTGGAGACCATGACAGCAGGCTGTACTTCACCCAGCTAGTGGACATGAACACTGTTCTGGGAGACAGGTGGCAGGATACCAGGGTCTACGCACTCTTCAGGAATGGCTGGTAGGACGACATACTGTAGATAGATCATAATGGACCTTAGTAACATACACAAATCAGCAATAGCAACACAACAGGCTCTGGGAGCAGGGACTCATAGTACAGTTTATGACATGACGTTGCAGTGCCGTTAAGAAAAAAAATCTAATTTGAAAGATAAACATCGAAGTGAAAGTGACATAAGGAGTTTTAACGATTAAGAAAACCAAAATGTCGTACTCTTTGTTTTGTTTTTATCACATGGAAGTTTGGGTTGTGCTTCCCCTCTTTAAATGTAACTTGGTTACAGTTCATATTCCTTTTCTGATCTCGAGAGTCATCTGATCTTCTGACCTTTACTGAAAGCAGATGTTGTGAAACATTGTGAAAGAGATCTTTAGTAAGGGGTATAGTTGAAACTTGCTGAGCTCTGTGTCTATCCCTAGGGGTATGAGTGCTGTATGTGTCTACACCGTAGAAGATATTGACCGCATCTTTAAAACGTCCAACTTCAAGGGACACACAGGGCCCGTTCCAAACCCACGACCTGGGGAGGTATGCTCAACAATATACTCAACTTTCTAGTCAGCTCTACTCCTTTACTCTGTATGTCTACAATATTGGACTGTATTCTGTGTATATCTTTGTATGTTGAAGTATACATAAAAGTGTCCATCCTCTTGTAGTGTGTTAAAGACAGCACTAAACTCCCCATGGAAGTCCTGAAGATGGTGGACAAGCATTCAGAGATGGAGGAGTGGGTCACCAGTGGGCCTCTCCTGGTCTCTCACCGCCATTACCACCACATCCGCATGGATAGAGTCCAAGGCAAATGGAATGTCCTGTTTCTGTCTCTAGGTGAGAAGTTTTGATCTCTAGATGATGAATCACAAATGATCAGTCTGAAAGGAATGACGGGAAACCTTAGCCTTCGGAGATGTTTGGAGACCTTTAACATACACCTCTTATGACCCTGCAGCAAGTGATGATAGGGAGCTGTATCGTGTTTATGTACAGTATAATTATAGGAATGTGGATGAGATGAGAAAGTTTCCATCTTATAATCACACCAGTTTCAAGAGACAGAGGCTTTCAGAAGGTTGAAATAATATTGACCATTCATGGTACTAGAGGGTGTAAAGTGACACTTTTTTTCACGCTGACTGACTGACACTGATCTTTTGTAAGGTGTAAAAAAAAGGCCTGTCTGAACAGTTTATTTTGAACTTTAAAAAAGAGAAGTAACTAAGTGGAAGTATAGTCTTATCACACTGTGCTAGGAAACCAGAGTTCATTTCCCATCATTGCACTCAAATTGGCACACAGAGACTTCAACCCTAACTCGAGATTCACGCCTGCACAACAGTTTGTAGGGTGTGCTTAGTGTCAGAGAAATACAACCCGGACATGAGACTGATGAATGTAATTGAAGTACAGTATCAGAAGCATTACTGTAGCAATAGTCATAGATACTCATAGATATGTATCCTCAGGGTGAGTCTATGCCCCACCATGCATCTGTACTGTGAGTGGTGTAATATATGACTGGAGGATGTCTCAACGTTATGATGAAACATTTAAAGGACTGTTGACATTTCTTACCCACACCTTTTTTTTGTAATGTTTGACTCTCACTCATATCCTCAATGATCGATGACTGCTGTTTGACACTGGCTGTGTGTGTGTGTCTACACTAGAGAATGGAGGGATTCATAAGGTTCTGGAGAGGGATGGTCAGGCCTTCGTCATCGCTGAGTTACAACCTTTTAACTACAGGGCACACATCCTCAGTATGATGTTACACTCCTCAACGGTGAGTCAAGGAACACAGCCCACACAGAAACCTCCCCATTGAGATCCAACAGTGGTAGCAATGTAGTAATAAAACATGGAGTGGAATAGACAATAGTCAAAGAGATCCCTTTCATACCATGTTTTAACATGTGGATCAGTTATTTGATCACGGCTGAACGTTTGATGATTCAACTACAGATGTTGTTGTCCTTTAAAATGCATTCCGTCTGCATATCATTTGATGGCATTGTGGATTTAGTTTAATAATAAGTATTGGCCACAGGTTTAAAATTGCATGCCTCATTCAAATACACAGAATGTTGTAGGCTGTTACGTAATATCCATCTCCAATGCGCCCACATCGGAAGGTGGTTTCCAAAATCCGACCACAATACGTCCCAGAGGTCTGAACGGGAGGAGAGAGACAATAGACAGGAACAACTGCAACCATAACAACTATATTTATATCTCTATAATAATATTGTAGAAGAAGTGGTGTTCTAATTGTAAGCCAGTAACTTTCTTCTGCAGTCAACAGTCATTGTTCCAGTATTCCCTACAATATTAGAATAAAGGGTTCCAAAAGGGTTCTTCGGCTGTCCCCATAGGATAACCCTTTTTGGTTCCACATAGAACTCTTTTGGGTTCCATGTAGAACTCTCTGTGTAAATAGTTCTACATGGAACTCAAATGGGTTCTGCCTGGAACCAAAAAGGGTTCTTCAAGGGGTTATTCTATTAGGTTCTAGATAGCTCCTTTTTTTCTAATGTTCTTGTGGTGTTGTGTTCCAGGCAAAGCTGTATGTGGCCTCCAGCAAAGAGCTGGTTCAGATTGACCTGGGCAGCTGTGATCAGTATGGAGCCCAGTGTGAAGACTGTGTTTTGGCCAGAGACCCTTACTGCGGCTGGGACGGCCATCGCTGCACCACAGCTACAAAGTAAGACCAAGCACAGCCTGCTTTCAGCTTATAGCATCCGCTGTATAGATATTTAATGGTAGTGATTTGAAAATAGATTTCTCATTAATGGTTATCAACATATTGGTTTCCTCTCTGTGGTTTCCTGTGAGCCTTATACAGTTTTGTTGTAACACTTCATAGTGTTTGTCAAAAATGCAAATATAGAGTGGTGCATTAGTTTGGCCATTATGCTAGACCTTATTTTCCATCAGTTCAGCTCAACATGGCCAGAGGTAGTTTTTCCAGAATGATGTATACACACATGGCCCTTGTTCAAACAAATGTGGTGTCAGATGAGGCCATGAAAACAAACAAAATGTACTTCAAACAAATGTGGTGTCAGATGAGGCCATGAAAACAAACTAAATGTACTTCAAACAAATGTGGTGTCAGATGAGGCCATGAAAACAAACAAAATGTACTTCAAACAAATGTGGTGTCAGATGAGGCCATGAAAACAAACAAAATGTACTTCAAACAAATGTGGTGTCAGATGAGGCCATGAAAACAAACAAAATGTACTTCAAACAAATGTGGTGTCAGATGAGGCCATGAAAACAAACAAAATGTACTTCAAACAAATGTGGTGTCAGATGAGGCCATGAAAGCAAACAAAATATACTTCATTTGATTAAACGTGACATACTTACAAGTATGTCTGCAGTGTGTGTCAGAGGAAAATGTTAGTTCACTTCCTCACTCTGATCCCCACCTGCTGTTAAAAAGTATACTACACTTCCTCCTCTACACTCCCCCCAAACATGCACACACGCTACACACACACGATACTACACACCACCTTGTCGTGTAGTCAAATGCTCTATGCTCCGTTGGTGTGATACTATGTGGTTTCAGTACAGCTCCTCTGTTTCAAAGAACTATCTCTCTGCCAACCACAAGGTAGACACCCTACACCCTACTGTACAATAAACCGGTACATTTGCTGGTTGAGTTGCTGGTTGAGACTCCTTAACTCATATATGCTTGTCTTTTTACAGTGATACAATTCAGGATGTGGAGAACGGGAACCATCAGGTATGCAGCAACATATCCAGAGGATTTACTGCAAGTAAAGGTGTGTAGTGTGTTACAGCCATCCTTGTACAAATACAAACCCCTTATTATGACCAAGTACTATAATAAAGGATGGAAACCATCCACAATGGTTAGCTATGGGAGTCTAAAAAGCAATGTTTTGCTCTTAGTTTACTTTCCAGGGTCATCAGTTGGCGCTGAAGATGGAATCAGAGTCCCTCTATCTTCAAAGTACTTCCTCCATTGCCCAACCTTGTCCAGCCACGCTGAGTACAGCTGGAGGCACCATGGCAACACCACAGCAACGCCGTGCATCTCCACAAAGTCAGAGGACCAGTGTCTCCTGCTAATAGAGAGCATGGGCCCTGAGCAGCAGGGAACATACAGCTGTGTGTCTGAGGAGAGGGGCTACCGCAGGACCCTGGTGCAGTACCAGTTACAGCTGGACAGGGGGGTCACAGGCCTGGCCTCTCACCACCTACCCTTTCCTGGTCTGGGTCTGGTACTACTACTGGTCCTGACTTTGCTCTGCTAGCATCAGCTCTATGGACTATCACCCCAGCCCTATGACCGAGCTGACTTGACTTGGACATGCCTGCACTTGTACTTTGGTCTTCCTTACACCCACGGTACCTCAAGAATAGTTCATGACAGTCAAGTGACCGACAAGGGGCCAAAGCTTCGCTGAGCCATTTCCTTTGTTACTTTCCCAATCAGTTGGTCAAAAAACTGAACGCTGCAGAAGTTAAAGCAACTGCACTTGTGCTGAGTTAAGGATTTATTGGCCTTATGTGTTTTATAATCATGCTATGTTTTCCAATATGAAACTTTGCAGGGGTTTAAAATATTTTATGTGAAAATCTGAATGTACAGGATATTGCAAAAACAGACTAATTTGGTTACATTTTAGAAATATATATTTTTACTTAACTACTAAGTTTCTTTGCTAACAGCATGATAGTTGTAAATATATATATTTCTTTATCGATTACTTATTTATATGTACAGTATTAAACTCTTGCACTCCTCTCTTATGTCATGATAATTATACATTATTTTCCTTCACCTCAAAAGTAAGTCTTTATTTCAAATGTTTCAAGTTAAGCCATATTGAAAATTTAGCAAGTTCTAGGATAATTATGTGAAAGCAAAGGGACATTGTGAAATGTTCTGGCTGTTGAAACCCCAGGCATGCATTACAGTAAAGTCAGTGTTGAAAGAGAATAGCCCAAGCTGTAATGATATCTCTAGGAGAAGATAGTGTTTTTTTGAGAAATATCTGTGCTATCCCCACTTCTGACTTAGGGCCTGATTCAGACTTACTCACGCCTTTCCTACGCACTTCTCAGTAGTTGTTATTCAGTCTTACCTTATTAAGGTGCATAGTGGGATTTGCAGGCGTAGTTTATGGTCCTCTGTAGCTCAGCTGGTAGAGCACGGTGCTTGTAACGCCAAGGTAGTGGGTTCGATCCCCGGGACCACCCATACACAAAAATGTATGCACGCATGACTGTAAGTCGCTTTGGATAAAAGTGTCTGCTAAATGGCATATTATTATAGTTTTCTTATGCGCGCTGAATAAATGTAATTCAACCGCCGAAAAACCCTCCCACTTGCTGGCCAACAGATTTTCTCGTGGAGTTTTCATACAGTAGGTTTTTTTCAGTACATTTATGTTAAGCCATCCCTTTAAATACGGTGTACCTTTTAAGTTAGAATTTTGTTGACAGACTCACAGCTTGGAAAATTCGAGAAAATGATGTCATGGCTTTAGAAGCTTCTGATAGGCTAATTGACATCATTTGAGTCAATTGGAGGTGTACCTGTGGATGTATTTCAAGGCCTACCTTCAAACTCAGTGCCTCTTTGCTTGACATCATGGGAAAATGAAAATAAATCAGCCAAGAACTCAGAAATAAAATTACCAAGACACAAGTCTGGTTCATCCTTGGGAGCAATTTCCAAACGCCTGAAGGTACTATGTTCATCTGTACATACAATAGTACGCAAGTATAAACACCATGGGACCACGCAGCCGCCATACCGCTCAGGAAGGAGATGCGTTCTGTCGCCTAGAGATTAACGTATTTTGGTGCGAAAAGTGCAAATCATTCCCAGAACAACAGCAAAGGACCTTGTGAAGATGCTGGAGGAAACCGGTACAAAATTATCTATATCCACAGTAAAACGAGTCCTATATCGACATAACCTGAAAGGCCGCTCAGCAAGGAAGAAGCCACTGCTCTAAAACCGCCATAAAAAAGCCAGACTACGGTTTGCAACTGCACATGGGGACAAAGATCGTACTTTTTGGAGAATTGTCCTCTGGTCTGATGAAACAAAAATAGAACTGTTTGGCCATAATGATCATCGTTATGTTTGGAGGAAAAAGGGGGTTCTTGCAAGCCGAAGAACACCATCCCAACTGTGAAGCACGGGGGTGGCAGCATCATGCTGTGGGGGTGCTTTGCTGCAAGAGGGACTGGTGCACTTCCCAAAATAGATGGCATCATGAGGAAGGAAAATAATGTGGATACAGTGGGGAGAACAAGTATTTGATACACTGCCGATTTTGCAGGTTTTCCTACTTACAAAGCATGTACACTTCAACTGTGAGAGACGGAATCTAAAACAAAAATCCAGAAAATCACATTGTATGATTTTTAAGTAATTAATTATTAATTAATTTGCATTTTATTGCATGACATAAGTATTTGATACATCAGAAAAGCAAAAACCTTTGTTTGCAATTACAGAGATCATACGTTTCCTGTAGGTCTTGACCAGGTTTGCACACACTGCAGCAGGGATTTTGGCCCACTCCTCCATACAGACCTTCTCCAGATCCTTCAGGTTTCGGGGCTGTTGCTGGGCAATACGGACTTTCAGCTCCCTCCAAAGATGTTATATTGGGTTCAGGTCTGGAGACTGGCTAGGCCACTCCAGGACCTTGAGATGCTTCTTACGGAGCCACTCCTTAGTTGCACTGGCTGTGTGTTTCGGGTCGTTGTCATGCTAGAAGACCCAGCCACGACCCATCTTCAATGCTCTTACTGAGGGAAGATCAGATCTCGCGATACATGGCCCCATCCATCCTACCCTCAATACGGTGCAGTCGTCCTGTCCCCTTTGCAGAAAAGCATCCCCAAACAATGATGTTTCCACCTCCATGCTTCACGGTTGGGATGGTGTTCTTAGGGTTGTACTCATCCTTCTTCTTCCTCCAAACAAAGCGAGTGGAATTTAGACCAAAAAGCTCTATTTTTGTCTCATCAGACCACATGACCTTTTCCCATTCTCCTCTGGATCATCCAGATGGTCATTGGCAAACTTCAGACGGGCCTGGACATGCGCTGGCTTGAGCAGGGGGACCTTGCGTGCGCTGCAGGATTTTTAATCCATGACGGCGTAGTGTGTTACTAATGGTTCTTTGAGACTGTGGTCCCAGCTCTCTTCAGGTCATTGACCAGGTCCTGCTGTGTAGTTCTGGGCTGATCCCTCACCTTCCTCATGATCACTGATGCCCCACGAGGTGAGATCTTGCATGGAGCCCCAGACCGAGGGTGATTGACCGTCATCTTGAACTTCTCCCATTTTCTAATAATTGCGCCAACAGTTGTTGCCTTCTCACCAAATTGCTTGCCTATTGTCCTGTAGCCCATCCCAGCATTGTGCAGGTCTACAATTGTATCCTTGATGTCCTTACACAGCTCTCTGGTCTTGGCCATTGTGGAGAGGTTGGAGTCTGTTTGATTGAGTGTGTGGACAGGTGCAGTTAATACAGGTAATGAGTGGAGAACAGGAGGGCTTCTTAAAGAAAAACTAACAGGTCTGTGAGAGCCGGAATTCTTACTGGTTGGTAGGTGATCAAATACTTATGTCATGCAATAAAATGCAAATTAATTACTTAAAAATCATACAATGTGATTTTTCTGGATTTTTGTTTTAGATTCCGTCTCTCATAGTTGAAGTGTACCTATGACAAAAATTACAGACCTCTACATGCTTTGTAAGTAGGAAAACCTGCAAAATCGGCAGTGTATCAAATACTTGTTCTCCCCACTGTATATTGAAGCAACATCTCAAGACATCAGTCAGGAAGTTAAAGCATGGTCGCAAATAGGTCTTCCAAATGGACAATGACCCCAAAGTTGTGGCAAAATGGCTTAAGGACAATAAAGTCAAGGTATTGGAGTGGCCATCACAAAGCCCTGACCTCAATCTTATAGAAAATGTGTGGGCAGAACTGAAAAAGCGTGTGCGAGCAAGGAGGCCTACAAACCTGACTCAGTTACACCAGCTCTGTCAGGAGGAATGGGCCAAAATTCACCCAACTTATTGTGGGAAGCTTGTGGAAGTTAAACAATTTAAAGGCAATGCTACCAAATACTAATTGAGTGTATGTAAACTTCTGACCCACTGGGAATGTGATGAAATAAATAAAAGCTGAAATAAATCATTCTCTCTACTATTATTCTGACATTTCACATTCTTAAAATGAAGTGGTGATTCTAACTGACCTAATACAGGGAATTTTTACTAGGATTAAAATGTCAGGAATTGTGAAAAACTGAGTCTAAATATATTTGGCTAAGGTGTATGTAAACCTCCGACTTCAACTGCATATTCTCATATGTGTGTTCTGCTGTAGCCTACATTGATTTATTTTATTTGAAGTTATATTCCGATATTTGTTCTACTGCTACATTGATGTCTTGAAAATTACATGACATTCGGGTCTTGTAAGCCCCACAGCTGAGTACAGTGAGGGAAAAAAGTATTTGATCCCCTGCTGATTTTGTATGTTTGCCCACTGACAAAGAAATTATCAGTCTATAATTTTAATGGTAGGTTTATTTGAACAGTGAGAGACAGAATAACAACAACAAAATCCAGAAAAACGCATATCAAAAATGTTATAAATTAATTTGCATTTTAATGAGGGAAATAAGTATCTGACCCCTCTGCAAAACATGACTTAGTACTTGGTGGCAAAACCCTTGTTGGCAATCAGAGGTCAGACGTTTCTTGTAGTTGGCCACCAGGTTTGCACACATCTCAGGAGGGATTTTACATTTACATTTACGTCATTTAGCAGACGCTTTGTTCCACTCCTCTTTGCAGATCTTCTCCAAGTCATTAAGGTTTTGAGGCTGACGTTTGGCAACTCGAACCTTCAGCTCCCTCCACAGATTTTCTATGGGATTATGGTCTGGAGACTGGCTAGGCCACTCCAGGACCTTAATGTGCTTCTTCTTGAGCCACTCCTTTGTTGCCTTGGCCGTGTGTTTTGGGTCATTGTCATGCTGGAATACCCATCCACGACCCATTTTCAATGCCCTGGCTGAGGGATAGGAGGTTCTCACCCAAGATTTGACGGTACATGGCCCCGTCCATCGTCCCTTTGATGCAGTGAAGTCTTCCTGTCCCCTTAGCAGAAAAACACCCCCAAAGCATAATGTTTCCACCTCCATGTTTGACGGTGGGGATGGTTTTCTTGGGGTCATAGGCATCATTCCTCCTCCTCCAAACACGGCGAGTGCCAAAGAGCTCCATTGGCAAACATGCCAAAGAGCTCCATTTTGGTCTCATCTGACCACAACACTTTCACCCAGTTCTCCTCTGAATCATTCAGATGTTCATTGGCAAACTTCAGACGGGCATGTATATGTGCTTTCTTGAGCAGGGGGACCTTGCGGGCGCTGCAGGATTTCAGTCCTTCACGGCGTAGTGTGTTACCAATTGTTTTCTTGGTGACTATGGTCCCAGCTGCCTTGAGATCATTGACAAGATCCTCCCGTGTAGTTCTGGGCTGCTCACCGTTCTCATGATCATTGCAACTCCACGAGGTGAGATCTTGCATGGAGCCCCAGGCCGAGGGAGATTGACAGTTATTTTGTGTTTCTTCCATTTGCGAATAATCGCACCAACTGTTGTCACCTTCTCACCAAGCTGCTTGACGATGGTCTTGTAGCCCATTCCAGCCTTGTGTAGGTCTACAATCTTGTCCCTGACATC